AATTCTCCTACTGAAGAGTTTGCAAGAATATAGCTTCATGTCAGAGTTAGGGAATAGTAGCTTTCAGTGGTGGAGAACCTGGGTAAATGGTTATATTGTTGAGTCTGTTATCATGCCAGAGTTGACTGGAGGCAAGCCTTTAGTAGGAAAAATCTCTTTTCTTTTATTTTTTTTGAGACAGAGTCTCACTCCATTGCTCTGAGTTGAGTGCTTTGACATCAAAACTCATGGCCACCTCAAACTCCTGGACTCAGATGATCCTCTTGCCTTAGCCTCCCCAGTAGCTGGGACTGCAGGTGCCAGCCACAACGCATGTTTCTATTTTTAATAGACAAGGTCTTGCTCTTGTTCAGGCTGGTCTGGAACTCCTGAGCTCAAGGGATCTTGCAGCCTTAGCCTCCCAGAGTGCAAGGATTATTGGTGTGCACCACTGCGCCTGGCCTTAATCTTTTATTTTTGAAAAGAGATCCTGGTTTGATATCTAAGAAGGGTCTTTGAAGAATTTCATGAATTCTTTGCTATAAAGTTATGATTTTTAGGAAAAGCACCATCGTTCTCTAGGACTGTGGTGAGGGCTTTTCTTAGCTTCTCTCTCTAGGTGGGGAGGCCAGACTGATGGTTGCCTTTGGGGATCCTGTGGGAATTTGGTGTCCTCCTTATTTTCAGGACATGTCCAACGACGATGACACACACCCTGCTGGGATGGCGGGTGGCACTCACCTCCTGGGGTTCTCTGACGAGATCCTACTGCACATCCTCAGCCATGTCCCCAGCATAGACCTGATTCTGAATGTCCGGTGCACCTGCCGGAAGCTTGCAGCCCTGTGCCTCGACAAGAGCCTCGTACACACCGTGTTGCTGCAGAAGGATTATCAGGTGAGGTGGGTGAGGGGGCAGGAGATTGAACAAAACCTTGATGTCTATCCTTGGGGACTGGCACAACCCTGCTGGGAGCACTGTGCAGCTGATGAAGAAGGGGGTGGCACTTGATCTTGACTGGAGCAGTCTCCAAGATGCACTAAGTGACAAAAGCAAGTGGCAGAGTAGTGCAGGTGATATGCCCACTTGGGGAGGAGGACGTAGCTACATGCAGACCTCATTCTAGGGGAAACCTAGGGCCTTGGGCATGGCAGAAGTAGGAGACTTACATGTGTGTAGATATCTAGGAGTGGCATTGCTGGGTCACAGGTAAGTTTGGAAGTTTCTTGCAAATACATGACTCTCCAGAGGCATAGTATGAGGATACCATTTATACCCCACCAGTGTTGGGGTGAGCATTCCAGTTGCTCTGTGTCCTTGCCAACACTCAGTGGTATCAGGTGAATTTTTTAGGTTTTATCCATTCTTTTTCTTTTGGACACAGTCTCACTCTTGTTCTGTTGCCCAGGCTAGAGTGCTGTGTCATCATCATAGCTCACAGCAATCTCAAACTCTGGGCTTTAAGCTCCTACCTCAGTCTTCTAACTAGCTAGGACTACAGCTGCATGCCATGATACCTGGCTAATTTTTCTGCTTTTAGTAGAGACATAGTCTCTTGTTTATACTGATCTTGAACTTCTGAAGTAAAGCACTCCTCCCACTTCAGCCTCGCAGAGTAGTAGGATTACAGGCATGAGCCACTGTGCCTGGCCAAATTTTAGCCATTCTAATGGGTGGGATGTGGTAACTCATTGTGGTTTTAATTTGTGGTTTGAGTGATGAAGGATGCTGCCTATCATGTTTTCTTTCCTTTTCTTTTCTTTTCTTTCTTTTTTTTTTTTTTTCTTTTTTGAGACAGTCTTGCTTTGTCACTCTCGGTAGAATGCCGTGGCATCATAGCTCAAAGCAACCTCAAACTCCTGGGCTCAAGTGATTCTCCTGCTTCAGCCTCCCAAATAGCTGGGACTATAGGCTCTTGCCACAATGCCTGGCTAGTTTTAGAGACGAGGTCTTGCTTTTGCTCAGGCTAGTCTCGAACTCATAAGCTCAGGCAGTCCACCCACCTCAGCCTCACAGAGCGCTAATATTATAGGTGTGAGCCACTGTGCCTGGCCTATCATGTTTTCATGAAGTATGTGGGTTACTGTAAGAAGTACCTGTTCCATGGCCTGGCGCCTGTAGTTCAGCAGCTAGGGTACCAGCACATACACTGGAGCTGGCAGGTTCAGATCCAGCTTGGGCCTGCCAAACAACAGTGACAGCTACAACCAGAAAATGGCCAGGTGTGTTGGGTGCCTGTAGTCCCAGCTACTTGTGGGACTGAGGCAAGAGAGTTGCTTAGGCCCAAGAGTTTGAGGTTGCTGTGAGCTATATGCCATAGCACTCTACCAAGGGCAATAAAGTGCCT